CTAAGTCAAGGTAAAGGGCAGTTGCTGCCTGCCTCCGGAGTCCCTTGCAGGCAGCAAAGAAGGGGAGGAAAAGGGAGAGTGGATTACAAAATCATACGCACAGCCTCAGTGCATTTACATATATGTATGTATCCACAGAGAATCTGTTCTGGACCACCACCACCCGCCCACAGATAGCAAAAACCATGAGACCTTAAGCCCCATTCTTTTCAGTGGGTGCATACAGTTGTTCCCGCCGCCATGTGTGCGCATGCCCATTGAAAAAGTCAAGGATTGCTGTCTGCGGAAGCTCAGTTTAAAATTGGTGCCTTTCCTTTCTCCTCCCACTAAGCCTCACTCCACTCACACCGTCTCTTCAGCATTGTAAAAGGACATGGGTAAATGCCACAGCCCTTTTCTGCCAAAAGACAGATGTCTGGGGAGCAGTGGGGTCACCCCAATTTAGGGCGTCACCTTGTGTGGTCTGCCCCCCTCCCTTAGTGGCTCCACTGCCACTGGGGAAAAATGGGGTCTGGCTGCAGCTGCTGCGTGTGTTTGTCTGCAAGAGGCAAGGCAAAGAGCAGCTGCCTCTAGAGCCGCTTACTGAGCAATTGCAAACAGCAAAAGAGAGAGGGAGGGAAGGAAGGAAGGAAAGAAGGAGGGAAGGAAGGAAGGAAGGGGAGAGCAGATTAGCCTGCCTCTCCAGCTGCCCCCAGCGAGTTAAAAAACCAGAGATCTGTAACTCTGGCCAGTAAAATGGAAGTCTTCAGAAAAGTGGCAAAACCATGTCAGTCTGGAAAATCAGTATGCAGAGGGATCTTGCAGCACCTTTGATAGCATGAACTTGTGTAGATTTAAGCCTGCTTCCTCAGAAGCATCCATTAAGTCAGCTCAAGTCTAGGAAAGCTCATGCTACTAACTTCTCTCAGTTAGGGGGGTTGCAGACTGCCAGAAATAGTGCAAATTGAGTCCACTTTAAGGGTTAGGAATAGTGCTAGGGAATCATGGGAATTTTTTTTACTGAGACATTGAGTCTTCTCTGTCAGAGAGCTCTGGTGCCACAATAAAATACAGTTCCCATGATTCCCTAACCCTAACCCTTAAAGTGGACTCAATTTGCACTATTTCTGACAGTCTGCAACGCCCCTTAGTCTCAAAGGTGCTACAAGATCCCTTTGCATAAGAAAAAGTGGATGCTGGAGGGAGAAATAATCATCTCAGAATGCATTTTGGAAGAAACTTTCAAGAAAGTTCAGAATCCAAAGATATATCTGTGTTAATCTGTAGAATCAGGATGCAGAGAGATCTTGTAGCACCTTTGAGACTCACTGGAAAAAAAAAATTGGCAGCATGAGCTTTTGTAGACTTCAGTCTACTTTTTCAGATGCATTTGGTTCAGAATGTTTCTGTTTCCTTCTACAAGGCTTACCCACCTCAGTTGTTTCATTTCACATGTGCATATTGTTTAATTTTGAATAAAAGCTTTGCTGAAACATCTTGACCACCCCTTCTTTGTGGTATAAGGACCCTTCCCTGTTCTTTCCATGTTACTTCTGCTCCTAGTACCAAAATTTCTGTTAAAAAAGTCATGCCCAGCAAAGCATCTACTTTGTTAACTTAGGTATACTTGTGTATGTATGCATGTACACTATGTTATATTCTTACTTCCATATTGTGGGATCCCAGGGCAAGTCAGTTTAAAACAAGTCATAATCAAACCAATAAAATAATTGGAACACACCAAAACTCAACAGTTTGACAAGTTAAAGCAGCTTAAAGGGTTAAAGTAGAATAAATCCGGGCGTGTGTGTGTGTGTGTGTTTTGGAAAAGATAAAGTAAAAAGCCAATTTTTAAAAACTTGGTGAAGGGATAGTACCTCAGTTGGGCCTCCAAGGGCTTCAGAAGGTGCCACTGCTGAGAAGGCCCTGCATTTTCACACACACAGCTTATTGCTTCTACTAGCGGGACACAGAGAAGGGTCCCTCCTCAGGCAGGGGTTTTGTCTAGGATTCTATCGTTTTTTGTATGGTGACCTTCCAAAGATCTAA